CTCACCCTGACACCAAAGAGGAACACTGTGCACGACCTGCCTGTGGAGGCGATTTGGGCATCGGAAAGGGTGGATCAGGGCGAAGGACACCAGGAAAAGGAGAGAGACCCTCTGCAAGCTAAGCAAGAAACTGCTCCCTCACCGCAGCTCTCCTCCTGTAAATCAGAGCTGGAGGAGGTCGAGCAGCTCAGCGTCCTCCCTGAGCCCAAGTGGTGCCCCGGCTCCGTCCGCAGAGCCACGTTGGAGTTTGAGGAGCGCTTGAGGCAGGAGCAAGAGCACCAGCACGTGTCCCCAGCCTGCGTCCTGCTGACCCGCAAGAACTCCAGGAACGACTCTCCTGCTGCTGAGCTGCTGCCGCAGGGGAGGACGGAGGAGCTGCCCCTGGAGTTGGCTCCGGAGGGTGGTGCGGTGCAGGGCTCCGAGGAGCTGCTGTCACTGGGTGCAGAGCAGCCTGCAGGCAGGCAGCTGCCCACGCTCCTTGCGCACCCCACAGAGCCCAGCCCAGGGCAGGAGGAGCACAGGGTGGTGGTCTCGTTTGATGGCACGGAGGAGCCGGCCCTGCCTTCCCTCCTTCCCAAAAGGATCGAAATCATCGAGTTCACTCCTATGGTCAGGGCTGCCGAGAGCCCCGCTGCAGGCAATGAGCAGCCTGCAGCTCTCCCTCTGCTGGATGAAAACTTGAACCCTTCCCTGTGCTCCGAGAAGGCAGCGGCCTCTCTCAGAGCTCTGGTACACCCGCCACTGCCAGAGCACTTGGTGCAGCAGCAGCAGGCTACTTGCACCCTGCTCAGCCCCAGCGAGGAAGGCACTGCCTTGTCCTTTCCCCTCGGTGCTGCTTCCCCCTCTGCCCAGCCCTCCTGCACGCCCTCAGCCAGCCCCGACCGCCCTGCGTTGCCCTGTGTGATGCACCTGGAAGGTGTCACCGAGCAGAGCACGAGCACGGACCATGAGCCGACCACGCTGTGCGGCACTGCGGGAGCCGTGAGTCTCCCGTTCAGGGACAGCAGCCAGGCTCCATGCCAGGGTGGTGCTGGCTCCTCAACCAGCCTGCACGCCGCAAACGTGGACTTTTTGGACATCTCCTTCCTGTGCTGCAGCCTGCCCCACAGCTCCAGCAGTCACAGCGTGGGGGAGCGCAGCAGCAGCCCCGGGCTGGTCAAACAGCGAGCGAAGGAAATAGAGGCACGCATCCGGCACGCAGGGCTCACCACCCCCTCCCAGATGAAGCGCTCGGCATCCTTGGCCAAACTGGACTGCCTGGAGCTCTCCAAGGACGACTTATCCGAGAGGGAGGCGGCCTCCCGCTGCGCCAGCCCCGTCCTCCTCACCTGCGTGGCCCTGGGTGCAGGCTTTCACGGGGCCGGGTCGGAGCAGAGCTTGGAGAGCCCATGTGCGAAATGCCACCCGTTCTCCTCACCAGCCTTCCAGGATCCCCAACCCGCTCAGCATTTTGTAGAGCAGCTCAGAACAGCCGAGTGCATTGCGCAGAGCAGGCCGGTGGAGCGCCCGCTGGCTCAGTACGCCAAAGAGTGCGGCTCCAACCAGCACAGCTCGGCTCCCAGCTCCGCTCCCACGTGGACTGCCCCCCAGGAGGGACCCTCTGCGTTGGCAGCACCCCGACAGCAGCACGGTAGAACTCACCCGTTGAGGAGACTCAAAAAGAGCAATGACAGAAAGCGGACAACCAATCCCCTCTATAACACCATGTGATTCCAGCCGGGGAGCTGCGCCATGATCACACAAGGGGCAGGTGTAATATAAGGAACATGCACTTTATTGGTTAATTTTATATATATATATTGTCATCTTACCGTTCCTGGCGCATGTAGGTGTGGGTTGGTTCTTCTGTGTGTGACTCTGACTGCAGGACTGTTGGTTGATTTTTGTTTTTTATGGGTTGTGTTTGTTGTTTTTTTTTAATGAACTCGGATAACCTCAGATGTTCTTTTTGTTGTTGGTTTGTTTTAAAAGAACACCTCTCCCTGTTGGAAACGGATGCTGGCTCACTGCAGCGGGGCAGAGGTTTGCTCGAAACCAGCTCCTAGATCCTCACTTGAATCAGCCCCGTGCCTCAAAATGGTGCTGGGCATTGGGGCGAGAGCCCACGCGACTGTGAAGGCTGTGCCAAGTCCCCTTTGTTCACTTTGTGCTGCAGGCTGGAGCTGGGTGGTGCTGGCAGGTCCTTTACAGAGCTCCGTTCTGCCTGTGTGCCCCAACAGGAGCACAGGGCTGGGCTCGGGGACCCTCAGCTCTGCCCCCACCTCCTCCCCTAGCCCAGAGCCCACGACCTGGAGTGTTCTTCTAAAACAAACACCTCAGTAGGGCATGAGCCCTCCCGTTACTTGAATTCTGCTGTGGGCCTTCCACGTTCATGGCCATATCGTGTCCTCTGCCCTCTGCTGCCTCCCTGCACCCCAGAGCTGCCCCACATCCCCTCTGCATCCCAGAGGCCGTTGTAGTTGTTACACGTTTTGTTCTCACACTGAATGCAAAAGCTTTGTCCTCTGCTGCCGCTCCTGTTGTATTCAGCCTGGAGGGAGGATCTTTCCTGGAAGTTTCTGTTTTTTGCTAAATTGTATATATGGTATTTATATAGATTTTTTTGTTTGTTTGTTTCTATGTTGGTTATTATTTTGTTGTTTTTTTGGTTTTTTTTTAAGGGCAAGACTGCATTCTGTAAACTGGAAAACAACACCACTTTCCTCACCCTCAGTGCTGTCCATGGCAACTCTGCACCCAAACGCAGTGGCTTTGGCCAAATGTCTCCTCCAGCCCTGTGTTCTCTTCTGCAGCTCCTGGCCTCTCCCAGACCCACACGGTTACTCCCAGTTTCAGCCTGCTCTGCACTGCCTGGTGCCTGGCCCTGCCAGGAGCTGCAGAACGGCTCCTGCTGCTGAATGTGCAGTGCCCAGAGAGCACAGGGCAGGAGGAGCAGCAGCCCAGGCCGTGCCTGGAAAGCAGCAGCGGTGCTGCAGGCTGTGCTGAGCTCGCCTCCAGCTGCAGGGCAGCTCGTGCCACCAGAGCCATGTGGGAGGATTTGCCTCTCCTGCAGCTCCTGGGCTCCTCCTGCTGCCTTGCTGCAGCCCAAGGTCCCCGTGCGTGTCCTGCTGTAGCTGTGCAAGCTGCCCTAGCAGTGCTGCCTGCAGTTTGGAGCGCAGCCCAAGGGTCGGATCGCAGTGAGCCATGGCTTGCTGCGGGACCACGTGGCTCTCAGTGGCTCCAGCTGGCCTTGGAGCCATGTGGGCAGCACAGAAAGGCCATGTGCCCTGGGGTCAGCTGTGAAGGACAGCTTCGGCCCTCACCTCCCCAGCTTTCTCCACCTAGTTTGGTCTCAGGAGAGGTGCCCTTTTTGCAGAGCAGAAACGTGCTTCCTCTTAATGCTCCTCTCTGCAGAGCAGCAGTGCTGCAGAGCCGTGCTGTCCCCTTGTCCCCAGCCCAGCCTTGTTCCCTTCCAGCATTACAAAGGCGCTGAGGGGCTCTGAACCCGCTGGCAGAAGGGCTGCACGGTGCTGGGTGCTCAGCCAAAGCCACCGGGCTCAGAGCTCCCCCTGGGGCTGCGCTCCCCATCTCTGTGCTGCCAGCTCTCCCCTTGCCGGTGGGCTTTTGGGAGGAACGCGGTGTTTGAAGGGCATTTTGTACAAAGCAGCCGTTCCTTTGGTCTCACCAAGCCCTCCCAGAGGGCGCTCAGTTGTTTACATTGACTCCTGTACAATATCTCAGCCATTGCTCCCCCCCCGCCCCACCTCTGCCCGTACTGTAAGTGTGAGCCTTGCACAGACGGATGGCGCCCGCGTCCACCTGGTTTTTACACTGTGTTCTGTTGCACTCTGTGGTGTGTGTGTGTGTGTGTGCGTGCGTCCCATCCTTCCCAAAGTCATCCCATGTACAGACCCCCCCCTCGGCCCCATCCTGGAGGTGACTCCCAGTGAAAGGGAACCTACAAGGCACCATTGGGCCGCAGCACTGGCATAGGGCTGCGCTCCCGGCCATTTCCCACAGCACCAAGACCTGCGCTGGTGCCTTTCCACCCCTGCCCCGATGTGCAATGTCCCTGTGCTCAGCTGTGGCTGGAGATGGAGCACACGTGGTGCCCCCCCGATGTCCCTCGGTGCCTGGGATCGTCCCTTTCCCCCACCTCCTCCCCCCATATTCCTCTAAGAGACTTTATGACCGATGTGCTCCGCTGTTTTTAAATGTGAACTCGTGCACTGATGTGCAGATTCAATGTTCTTGTTACCGAATGAATAAAAGTTTTATTTTGACGACGATGTCAGCCTGCTGCCTCCTGCTCAAGGCTGGGGGGCTCTGTGTCCCCACCCGGCTGGCTGCTGTTCCCCTGCACCCCCCGGCCCAGGTGATGCACTGAGGGTGGAGGACCCCAGCCCCAAAATCCTTCTGGGACTGTGCCCAGAGCGTGCCCAGCACTGGGGGTGTTGCAGTAGGGCTGGGGGTGCCCGGCCTCCCCTGCTGCCCCTGTGCCCATCGGAAAAAGGCTCCTGAGGTCCCCTTCCCCTACGGGGATGTGCAGCGGGGCAGAGCTGTGCTGTGCTATGACGATGTTGTCCCGCAGCCCCCGGGCGGATGGGTGGTGGGTGGATGTCACTTTCCCTGCTGACCCGCTCAGCACAGCCAATGCTCTGCTCGGTGCCCTTGTAGGGGCCATCGCCTGCTGCCTTTCCAGGAACCCCCTGCCCCGGCTCCCCCCCGGCCTTACGATCCCTTTAATCCCCTTTGGGCCGGTGCAGTCCCGGCTAAATCCCAACGAACATCCCGTGGGGGCGGGCGAAAGGGGGTGGAAGGGGGTGGGCATAGGGATGCTGCGCCGCCGCCGCCCCCCGCAGCGCGTATCCCCCATCCCGGTGGGTTCGGGGCGGGCAGCGCTCGGCCGGGGGCGGGCAGGGCCCGGTAAGGGCAGGCGGGGCCGGGCCCCCCCTCCCCTCCTCCTCCCGGTGCCCGCAGCGGGGGGGCCGTGCCGGCCCGGCTCCGGGCTGGGCTCAGCTGTTCCCTGCGGCACTGCGCGCCCCGCGCAGCCCGACCGAGCGGAGCCGAGCCGAGCCGGGCCGTGCCGTGCCGTGCCGGGCGGAGCGGGGCCGGGGACGCGGGAGCGGGCGGAGCCGAGCGGGGCAGCAGCGGAGCGCAGGTGGGAGCGGGGTCGGTGATGGGGCCGGGGTGGGGGGAGCGGGGGGCGAGGGGACAAGAGAAGGGCGGTGGGAGCGGAACGGCGAGCCCCGGGCCCCCGGCCCCTCGTTCCGCCGGGCCCCTCCGGGAGATGGCTATAAATGGAAAGTGACCTCTGGTCGTTCCCGAGCGGCCGCTGCGGATTCAATTGTGGCAACGTAATGGCACGGCCGGGAGCGGGCTGTCCTGCCTGCACCGCGCCCGCTGCCCCTGCACCCCCTGCACGCTGCCTGCAGCCCCTCCGACCCCATCTGCCTGTGCACCCCTTGCACCGGTCCTGCAGCCTCTGCACCCCACCTGCACCCCACCTGCACTCCATGCACCCTCCTACACTCCACCTGCACCCCGTGCACCTGCCCCTCGCTGCACCCCACTCGTCTCGTGCCCCCTGCTGCCCCGCGCCCCCCAGGCGGCCCCCCATCCCTTCCCTGTCCACATCTGCACTCCCAGCTGCGCTCCCCTTGTGCCAGATGGGTTCTCCAGGACATCCCCACGCAGCCCCCCAGCACTGAGGGCCTTGTCCTGGTGGTGACACCATTTCGGGGACCCCCCAACTCCTGGGCAGAGCCAAAGGGGCACAAACCTGCAGGAACGGGCTGTGCTGCACCGGGCTGTGATGCCGACTGGCCCCAAAGGGCACTGTGGGGTTGTGGGGTCACCATCCCACGGCACTGCAGAGCTGCAGCACTGGGAGTGACACTGGGGTCTCCAGGAGGGTCAGTGCACACCTGGAACGGGCTGGGGTGATGGGGGTATGGGATAACCCCAATTAGACCCCCCCAGTGCTGTGCTGAGCTCCAGGCTCCTCTCCACTCTCTCTGCACATGGGGCCGTGTGGCCATGCTGCCCAAAGCTCTGATGTTCTGAGTCCCCGAGCGCTGGGGAAGTGTGACCCAGGTGGGAGACCTCAGATCACTGCTCTGGGATGGGACACGAGGGGACACACGGGGATGAGCTGTGACCCAGTGCATGGCACCTCCTAATCCCCCCCCCAGAGCTTTTTGCAGCACCGCTTTCCCGCTGTCACTACGTATGGGTCAGCTCTGGTGATGGCCACAGGGCACAGCACAGCCATGAGGATGGCATGGACCTAGGACATAACATAACCATGGGGGTGGCACGGGCATAGGGCATGGCACAGCTCTAGGGGATGGCACAGCCCTGATGCACAGCACAGCCACATCCCCACCACAAAGCAGACAGGCAGCACTGTGCTGTGGGATGCTGGTGCCCAGTAGCCACCCCAACACCCACAGCTGCCCCAGCTCCCTCTGTGGGGCGAGGACCACACCAGGTTCCATCCCGTGCCCCCATCCCATGCCATCGCCACATCCCCACACTCCTTCCAAACCTGGGTGGGGATCCCTCTCAGCACGAGATCTGTGGGTGTTGAGGTCCCTGCGCCCCACTGGGGGGCTCCACGTCCTGACCTGTGCCCCCCCAGCCATGAGCCGCCGCGTGGTGCGCCAGAGCAAGTTCCGCCACGTCTTTGGGCAGCCGGTGAAGGCCGACCAGATGTATGAGGACATCCGTGTCTCCAAGGTGACGTGGGACAGCTCCTTCTGCGCCGTCAACCCCAAATTCCTGGCCATCATTGTGGAGTCGGGTGGCGGGGGGGCCTTCATGGTCCTGCCCCTGTCCAAGGTGAGTGGAGGCGTTGGGATGGGTCCCCCATGGGTGGTACTGGGTATGGGATGTGATGAGAGGCTCTGCTCTGGGCATGGGGTGTGGTGACGGCTCTTCATCTCTTTGCCCCCATATCCCCAGCCTGTGGGGGGCTCAGGGACCCTGAGGGAGTTACTGGCACATATCCTGGGGACAACTGCAGTGACAAAGGGAACCCTCCATCCACTTTCTCCCCAGCCCCAAATCCCTGAGTGTGTGTATGTGTGTGTCTGCCCACCCCAACACAGGGACCAGGCCCCCTCTTGTGTCCCACACCACCACCATAGGGCACGCAGCAATCCGTTCCCAGGCATATTGCTGCCCTCTGCATCCCCATGGGGCTCAGTGCCTCAGTTTCCCCATGGCTCCCTCCGTGCTGTATCTGTGCTGTGGCTCAGGGGAGGGGTTCCAGGCTCATCCACCCCCCCTTGTGCTGCAGACAGGCCGTGTGGACAAGAACCACCCGCTGGTGACGGGGCACACGGCGCCCGTGCTGGACATCGACTGGTGCCCCCACAACGACAACGTCATCGCCAGCGCCTCCGAGGACACCACCGTTATGGTGAGGGGCGGGCGGTGGGGGGGGTATGGAGGGCCCCCCCCCCTCCCTTCCCGTTGCTTTGCTGCCTGCAAAGTGTCACCGACCTATTTTTAGAGGCAGTGCCATGCGTGTGTGCTGCTGGCGGCGGCCGCCGGCTCCATGATGCAGCACTTTATGCTAAATATACCCTCCCTGCGACTCAGCACCGGGGGGGCCACATGCGGCACAATGGGGCTGTGCCCCCCCTACCCCCCTCCATCCCCCCGGCACCACGTGCTCCCTGCAGCATCAGGACGTGTATCGGAGCAGCTCTGAGGTTAATTATCCCCGTGTCGTCCCCGTCCCCCCCCCAGGTGTGGCAGATCCCAGACTACGTCCCCGTGCGCAGCATCACGGAGCCGGTGGTGACGCTGGAGGGGCACTCCAAGCGCGTGGGCATCATCTGCTGGCACCCCACAGCCCGCAACGTGCTGCTGAGCGCAGGTGGGGCTCACCCCAAGTCTCGTGGGAATCAATGGTAAAACCCCAAATCCCCACTGGGGACCAATGGTAGTCCCACTCCAAGTCCCACGAAGAACTGATGGTGATCACCCCAAGTTCCGTCAGGAACCAAAGGTGGTCACCCAAATCCGCACTGAGGACCAACAGCAGTCACCCCAAATCCCCACCGGGAACCCGTAGTGGTCACCAGTGTGGTGACACTGCCCCGATGTCCCCTGCAGGCTGTGATAACCTGGTTATCCTCTGGAACGTGGGCACGGGGGAGATGCTGCTGGCTCTGGAGGATATGCACACCGACCTCATCTACAACGTGGGCTGGAACCGCAACGGCAGCCTCCTGGTCACCACCTGCAAGGACAAGAAGGTGCGAGTCATCGACCCGCGCAAGCAGACGGTGGTGGCGGTGAGTGTCCCCAGCGTGTCCCCGTCTCCACCTCCCCACCTCGCTCCCCCCCCTCCCCGCTAACGGCCGGCCCCACTAACCCCGTCCCTCTGTGTTTGCCTTTAACCCGCTAACGCCCAACGCAGGAGATAACCAAACCGCACGACGGCGCCCGGCCCATCCGCGCCATCTTCATGGCCGATGGCAAGATCTTCACCACCGGCTTCAGCAAGATGAGTGAGCGGCAGCTGGGCCTCTGGGACCTGGTATGGGGCCGCGCCGTGACCCACTGTGCCCCCCAGGACCCCGCGTGCCCCCCCCAGGACCCTCCTGCGCCCACCTCCACTGGAACCCAATAGCTGCAGCAGGGATGGATCCGCGCCCTCACACCCCATCCCTGCGCCACGCGCTGACTCTGTGCCCCCCATCCCCAGGAGAGGTTCGCTCCCCACGAGGGGCTGAGGCCCGTGCGGGCCATCTTCACGCGGGAAGGACACATCTTTACCACGGGCTTTACCAGGATGAGCCAGCGGGAGCTGGGGCTGTGGGACCCGGTAACGAGGCCGCATGGAGTGATGCTCCCGGGAACTCAGCTTCCCAAACCCAAATCCATTCTTCCCCAAAATACGACGCCGAGTTTCCCCGTGTGCTGTGCCCGTGTGCCGTGCAGTGCCTGGGTGTGAGGTTGGGGTGGGTGGGTGGGGGCACCCATAGGGCAGTGCAGGTAAGCAGGAATGGGGTGTGGGCATGCCGGGGGGGAGGCCCTGGGGGTGTCCCCATCCCTGTGGTGTGCAGTGCTGAATGGTGTGGCTGATGGAGGCGGGGGCCCGGCGCTCACCCCCAGCTGCATCCCCGTAGAAAAACTTTGAGGAGCCCATCGCACTGCAGGAGATGGACACCAGCAATGGGGTCCTACTGCCCTTCTATGACGCCGACTCCAGCATTGTGTACCTCTGTGGAAAGGTGACCCCAGGTTCCCCCCCCCCCTACTGCACCCCCCTGCCATGGGGAGAGGTCAGGGGGCTGACAGCCCTCCCCGTATCGGCAGGGGGACAGCAGCATCCGCTACTTTGAGATCACGGACGAGGCGCCCTACGTGCACTACCTGAACACTTACAGCAGCAAAGAGCCACAGCGTGGCATGGGCTTCATGCCCAAGAGGGGACTGGATGTCAGCAAGTGTGAAATTGCCAGGTTGGGGCTGGAGGGGTCTGGGGGGTTGGGGGGGTCGACAATGGGAGAGGCCATCAGCCCCCAACCACCTCTGCCCCACTCAGGTTCTTCAAGCTGCACGAGCGCAAGTGTGAGCCCATCGTCATGACGGTGCCACGCAAGGTGAGCCCTCGGGCACCTCCTGAGGACAGTGGGGTTTTAGGGACAATGGTGTTTCAAGGGGGAGAGTTGAGCGCCCCATCTCACTGTGCCCCCATGTTGCCCCCGCAGTCAGACCTCTTCCAGGACGACCTGTACCCCGACACGCCGGGCCCTGAGCCGGCCCTGGAGGCGGATGAGTGGCTGTCAGGGAAGGACGCGGAGCCCATCCTCATCTCGCTGCGGGACGGCTACGTCCCCGTCAAGAATCGGGAGCTGAAGGTGGTCAAGAAGAACATCCTGGACACCAAACCCCCCCCGGGCTCCCGCCGCAGCTCCACTTCCATTACCGACATCTCTGTGAGTGTCCCATCACCTCCCCAGGGGATGTGCCACCCTACAGGGACACCGGCCCATGTGGGGCATCGGCCCATGGGAACATTGGTGCATGGAGATGTTGGTCCATGGTGGATATTGACTGATGGAGATGCTGTCCCATGAGGGCCCTTGGGGATGTGGCACAGGGCTGTCCCCTTCTTCAGGGGCTGATGGCCACGGCGGGGTTCTGTATGCACAGCACCGACCCTTTGTGTCCTCCCACAGACCCCCGTCCTGGATGAGGTGTTGGAGGAGATCCGGGTGCTGAAGGAGACGGTGCAGGCGCAGGAGAAGCGCATCTCCGCTCTGGAGCACAAACTCTGCCAGTTCACCAATGGCACGGACTGAGGCACGGGTATGGGACTGCGCCCAGCCCAGCATTAAACCGCATCCCGCAGCGGGCAGGAGGCCACAGCCATGTTCTTTCCCCAGGAGCTGTTGGGGGGGGGGGGGGTCGGACTCTGGACCCCCCCACCCCTTTTTACTCCTAGGGTGCATCTGGTGACTTTTATACATGGGGGTCCCTCCTGGCAGCCATGGGTGCCAGGATGGGGGTGTTGGTCCCCCTCCCAGTGCTGGGGTACGGTGCCAAACCCCACCCTGACCCCACAGCCCCTCAAAGTGGGGGTTTCATACTCCCAGCACCCCCATTAATAAAGGGCTTGGGTCTCCTGTGGCCGTACCAGGGATGTGGGGCTGCTGTGGGGGAGCCCTGCCTGCACCCCCCCCCAAACCAGGCACAGAGAGGCTCCTCTCAGAGCATTTATTGGTGTTGGCCACGGTCAGAGCTGCTCAGGCTCCCCCTGGCCCTGGCCCAGACGTCGCTTGTGGGGTGCATGGATGGGGGGAGGGGGTGCCACTATGAAAAGTCCCTTTGGGGGCAACCCCGCAGTCCCCCCCCGTGTGCAAAGAAGGAACAGCCCGGGGTGAGGAGGTGGGGGCCCAGGGTTTAGCACCATTTGATGTAAGGTTTTACCAGGGGTGGGGGGCAGTGCCCGGGATGAGGGGTTGCAGCGCTGCCATGGTTGGGGGGGAGCATCCGAGCAAGGCAGGGAGGGTGCAAGCACAAGATGAGGTGGTGACACCGGGCATCCCTTTGCGGGCCCCCCCTTGGTTGCCCCCTTGGCCTGGGGCGAGGCCATAGAGCCCCACATGGGCTGAGGGGTGCAGTGGGGCTGAGCTCCCCCTGTTGGCAGGCAGAGCAGCTCCCGGGTAAGTGCACTTGGTAGCGCCTGGGCAGTGGGGCCAAGGGGGGGACAGAGCCCCATGGCTCTCATGGTGTCCCCATGACTGGGGAAGAGTGTGACCCCCCGCCTCCCTGGGGTCAGATAGGGGGGGCAGCATGCAGGATACACCCCCTGTTCCCTGCCACCCCCAGTGCCCCCCAGCACTCACCCCTGCCCCGGCTACGGGGCTGATGCAGCCCCCCTATTTGTCCTCTGCACGGGCCGTCCCCCCACGCACCCCTCTGTGCCCCATACACACGTCCCCAGGCCCCGAGTCGGTGTAGGGGGGGCTCAGTGGGGTCGGGGGGTCACTTCTCCATCAGGGAGAGCTGCAAGATGCGCTGCAGCTCCTCTTCCTCCTGCCGCGTCCGCCGCTCCGCCTCCTCCTGCTCCCGCGCCGACAGCGCCATGGCCAGGCGCAGCTGCTCCGCGTAGCTGGGAAACAGCGTGCTGGGCCCCCCGCCGCCCCCCGGCGCCGGGCTGGAGGGGGGTCTGGGGGCTGCCGTGTGCTGGGGAGTCCTGGGGAGGCACGGCCCGACCTCAGCCCGGTGCCCCAGAGGGACCCGAGGGGATGGGACCCGCTCCCACACCCCCGGACCTTACCAACCTGTCTCCCCGGCGTCCCTCGTGCGACATGGGGTGGGTGCCTGGCTTGCTGTTGGTCAGTGCTTCCCAAATGGTGACCTGGAGGAAAGGGAGGAGAGGAGGGGTCAGAGAGGGGGGTGAAATTTGGCCCCAGTGTGGCCCGTAGGGGAACGGACCAAGCATGGATGGTGGGATGGGATGCTCCTCATGGGATCCTAGTGACTGGGGGGAGGGATGAAGAGGTGGTCTGATGAGGATGAGAAGGATGAAGATGAAAAAGATGAGGGTGTTGGGTGAGAACAACATTGGATGACGTTGAGGAAGATGAAGATGTTGGATGACATTGAGGAGGACCAAGATGTTGGATGAGGATAAGGAGGATTTAGGAGGAGAAGGAGGATGCTCAGAATGATGAGAAGGATTTTGGATGAGGAACATGAGAATGAGGAGGACAAGGGTATTGGATGAGAAAAATGTTGGATGAGGGGCATGAGACTGAGGACGCTGGATGAGAAGGATAAGATAACGTTGGATGAGGCCAAGGAAGATGAGACGGCTGAGACTGTTGGATGAGAAACATGCTGGCTGAGGAGGATGAGGAGGGGGCTCTCCCCACAGCGCCCACCTGGTCGTACTCGCTGCCTGCTTCCAGCAGGCTCTGCTGGATGGCAAACTGCAGCAAATCATCCTCATCCTCCCGCAGAGCATCCTGGTGGGTGCCCACCACGCTGTACCCCCGTGGCACCTCAAAGAGCGCCGGGTCCATCTCACACGCCCGGCAGGACGCTGCAGGGAGACAGATGTGGCTGGGCAACCAACGCCCCTGTGCCCCCCACCCACCGCATGCCCTCGCCCCCCCATGTACTCAGGGAGCTGGAGCTGCTGACACTGGAGGAATCGCTGCTGGGCGAGGGGGCCTCACTGCTGGGGCTGTTGCGCAGGGAGCTGACGGGCTCATCGCACCCATTGAGGTTCCCAAAGGTGATGCGGGCATTGAGGATGTGGAAGATGGGGATTTCTGCCCGTATTAAAAACAAAAGAATAACGAAACAAAGAGCGAGGAGGGAAGCTGGCTGTGTGCCCCACCGGACTGGTAGAAGCCCCCTCCCCGTGCCGTCCCCCATACCAATCTTGACAGGGAAGCCGGGCGGGAGGCGCAGAGTGATGAAGTCACGCAGCTTGGCGAAGAGCGCGTTGCTGATGGCCATCAGGTCGATGATGGGGGCCACCTGCTCACAGAGGGACAGCGGGTGGTCCTCGCACAGCCACAGCTTCGCCTTGAACCTGCAGTGGAGGGGACAGGCGCCAGGATGGGGGCCCCGGGAGCCCCGCAATGGCAGCACGGTGTCGTTGGGGTCCCCTCTTCCCTCCCTGCTCGCCCCTCTCACTTCTGCGTCTTGGTGGTGAGCTCCATGGGCCGTCCCATGTCCCTGTTGCCCAGCTCGAAGTTGGGGTTGAAGTACTCCTCAGGGGTGATGGCGGTGGGGTTGGTGTGGCTCAGCGTCTGCGTGATCAGCGTCTGCGGGGACAGCGGTGCAGTGATGGTGGCACAGCTGTGGGGGGTGGCACAGCCATGGGGACCCCCCTAGCACACTCACCCCATTGTTGGGCCCCACGTGCTGCTCAGCGATGCCCAGGAAGGACTGCAGTGGGGTCTTACTGCCTGCAAGACGAGGTGTGAGGCCGAGCACTGCAGCCCTGTGCCCACCACCGCCCCACGCGCTACCTTTGCTCTTGCCCTTGTGCTGGTCTGAGAGGTGCTCCGTCCGCGTCCGTGTGATCAGCTCCACGTTGGACGCGCCGTAGACCTGTCCAAGCAGGGAGAATGTCAAAGGTTCCCCAAAAAACAGCTGTGCCCATTGCAGCTCAGCCCCCTGCCCCTCACCTTGGCTTCATACCCATTCACCATCTCTGTCTTCTCACTTCTCCAACCCAGAATCCCAGATTTGTTCCTGGGGGCGACACGGGATGCTGTCAGGGAGGGATGGGTTGGGATGAGATGGTTGGGATGGGTTGGGTGGGAATGGCTGGGATGATTTGGGATGAGATGATTGGAATGGAATGGAACGAGGTAGGAGGGGATGGGATTGGTTGGGTTGGGTTCGGATGCTTGGAGTGAAATGGGATGGGATTTATTGAGCTAGGTTAGAATGAGTTGGGTTGGGTTGAGATGGGATGGGATGGGTTGGGATGGGATGGGATGGTCCCACTTGGGTAGCCAGATATGTGAGCAAAGGGTTGACCAGCAATGTCCCTGCCCACCTTTCAAAGGCGATGTTCTTGGTATCAAGCTGGGTGGTGACGACGGGGGCTGTGAGCCGACCCATCACCTGCTCCTCCGTGGGCTGCACAGCAGCCAGCAGCACCTCCTGGTCGTGGCCGGCCAGGGCCAGTGTCTCTGAGTAGACCACTCGCCGGTCATGGTCAATCTCCATCACCACTGCGCTGGTGTCTGTGGGGAGGGGGTGTTCAACACAGCGATAGCTGTGATCCTCCACAGCATCCCCCAGCCCCCTCCTCACCTTGTCCCCTGAAGACAAAGCTGCGGTTGCCCCGCTGCCAGGTCATATGGTCAAAGCCCAGCAGCGTGGTGTCCACCCGCAAGTTCTGGCCGCTCTTCCACACCTTGTACGTGTCACTGGGGCAGATCTTGGACACCAGTGGCACTGGGGGAAGACGGCGATAGCCCAGCCAGGGATGGGGCCACCCTGTGCCTCCCAGTGGGCTGCAAGCACACTGGGAAGCTCCCACTCCACCCAAGCTTACCCCAGCTGGTGAACTCCCACTTCATCTCCACATAAAAGTCCTGGGCCTGCCAAGAGCAGTGGAGTGGGCAGGGGTCCAGCAGTGATGCCCCCACCCCCGAGGGCTCCCCCAGCCCCAGGTACCTTGCGCAGCTTCTCCAGCAGGATGGGGATCCCGGCCAGGCGCTTGATGGCTCTCTGGTAGTCACGGTAGCGCAGGACCAGCTGCACCAACTCGAGGTCACGGGTGCTCACGGCCTCCTGTAGCACTGCAGGTGGCACAGCACGGTGCAGCACAGTGCAGAGCGGCACGGCACGGCACAGTGGGGCACAGCACGGCGTGGTTCAATACATGGTGTGGGATGGCACAAGGTGGCGCAACACGACGTGGTGCAGCACAGCATGGGATGGCACAGCGGGACGCAGCACGGCGCGGTGCAGCACGGCACAGTGCGACTCGTGCTCCCCTTGGGGACCAGGCTGTCCACATCGGAGGCCCCGCTCACCTGTCCAGCCGCTGCGGTTCTCTTTGCCCACATCAGCTCCATGCTTCAGCAGCACCCGGGCGCACTCCAGGTGGCCCAGCGTGGTGGCCAGGTGCAGCGGGGTGCGTCCTCGGGGGTCCAGCTGCTCGATGTCGGCCTGGTGGGGGGCATTGGAGCTCAGGGGAGGGCGGGCTGTCTACGACTCCCTTCCACAGCCGCATCTCCATCCGACACAGCCGCAAGCCGGGGGAAAGCCCCCACCTCTGTGGCTCTGGGGGGAGCCGTGGCCCAGTTGCCAGGCAGCAGCTGCCGGCAGCCCCCACCGCGGCACGGCGGGGCGACGCGGGCGCACGTGTTCCCCG